AATTCTGGTATAACTTCGTAACATAGATCGCTCAGTTGTGTAACTCCACTCTTAATCCAGTGGGGAAACAAGAGTGGTCGCCCTGCCCATTGTATACGTGGATTGAGGAAGAGTGGTTGGGCCAAGACAGTAGGGAGATTATTTGCTAGATGTGGGTCGTTAGGTGAGGGTGGAGTTTGTTCCAGGCGAGTAGGAGCTCGCGGTGAAATTGCGGGATAGAGCGGTCGATGTGTTGGGATTGATAGGTTGTAGAGAGTGTAAGGGCACCGAGATTTTGGTTTGCGGAACGCAGGTTATATGTTATGAAATGCTTCCATGCCGCCTGGTCGGGATCTAGATAGCGCCGTAGAGTGGACAAGCGGAGGGCGGTAATTTTGGGGCCTAAACGGTGGATGTTAAATCCTCCTTGGTCGCGTAGGGTCGCCAGTGTCTCTCGTTTAACCAGGTGCATTTTTTTCCACCAGAAAAAGCGATATATCTCCTGTTCGATATCGCGGATAGCCCCAGGACGGAATGGGGAGGGCGGTGGCCTGGTACCAGAGCACTGAGGTAAGCAAGCCGTTTATCACAAGGGTTTTACCTTTAAAGCTGAGGTTTCGTGAGGACCTAGTCTCCTTCGCAGCCGTTGTTTGGGCTCGTCACGCAACGATCCCTCCCCCACCAACCGGCTGCTTTAACCCAAACCACATTCCTTTCCCTTTGTTTAGCTTTCACGGTGACTGTACGTGATAATGCGCGTTTGCACCAATCACACGTCGCCTTTGGTTTCACGATAAAACCAATGAAATTTCAATGACGTAAGTTCATCGGCGCTTTCTAGTTACCAGTCATCTCAAAAATTTCCCATGAATGTAACTCCGAAGAAATTGGAAGAAAGTAGTTAAAGATGCTTCATTTTGTTCCTCGATTTCACTCACAAAGGATAAAATTTACATTTTTGATAAAAGTTCATTTGATGTTGCTGAACTAATTCATTCCTCGCTCACTGTTGACGTGCATCGCTACGCGGAGAACAGCAAATTGTACATGTTTGTTTGTAGAGACAAATGCTACCAGCTTTTGATAAAGTTTAAGAAGGTATCGGATAAACTGAAAGAAATCAAAAAAAAAATAGAAGAGGTCTTCAATACACAAGAAAAACCCAGGGCAAAGAGACTGCGCTGCGAACGGACGAGGAGAATAGTGTCGGTGAACAAGATCTCTTTGACAGGACTGTGAACACGATAACAACACCTATATGATCATACATTTCCACGACTAAAGTTCACCATTAAGTTACCGTCTGTTATGGCTACGAATATATTTCTCTACATAAATCGCAAGATTTCGAACGCAAAAAACGAAGTAAAATTAAGCTTACGTCCATTACATCTGCTTTGGAAATGGCCTCGAGAGAGTGAAAAAACATGCCTATTGTTTACCACTCGACTTAATTGTAAAAGGAAAATATATAAACTTAAATAATATAAGACGAAGCTAAAATGGCACGTTAAGAGAAGTAAGGAATTGGTTCTTGACATACCACTGTCCGACATGTGCTTCATCGATAGCCACAGCACATAACATCGCACGGTATACATCATTTCCTAG